TTGTAAATAGGATCACAAGTCCGCATCTTGTACAGCAATTAACCACTAAGAAGAATATATGCAGTGTATTATTTGTTGAAACTGTCCTTCCGATTTGATTTGAAACTGTCTCATTGCTATCTGTTTGTCAATAAAACTTTGAAAAAAAAAAATGCACTGCCAAAAAAAAATAAAAATAAAAATAATTAAGGACATTGTATCACACTGATACTGAACGCCAATGTTTGCTGTAGCATAATTTGTAATAGCTAAATATGAAAGTGGCCACATGTCCATGAACAGATGAATGGATAAAGAAAATGCGTCATTTACGTACAATGGAGTACTCTTCCTCTGCTATGGAGGACAAAGGAGTAATTTGTAGGAAAACGAATGTATCTTAAAACCATAGTGCCAAGTGAAATAAATAAGACACACAAGCCCAAATGTTACGTGGTTCCCCTTCTATGAGAACATAAATCGAGCAAAACAAAAGACAGAAAATAGGAAGCAGGGGACAGAGCTTTCTCAAAGGGGAAGAGGATGAAGAGATGAAAGGAGGGAGAAAGGGAGAAGTGAATGAAAGAAGGAATTAAGATATGCTATGCACATGCACCAACTCCCCACAAGCAAGGTAAGCATTATGCACTGCAATCATATACTAAAAGGAAGTGATCTGAAAAACAAAAAAAACCCTCTACATTCTCACCCACGGATTTTATGTGAAGAGCTGCAAGTGGGGCAAACCGGGCCAAGTGAAGAAAAGCATCTGTGCCGCCTTGCCCGGCACTGCGCACGCTGCCCTGAGCAGTGCCTCCCCGGCAGGTCTCTTCAGTGGGGAGGCCATCAAGCATCTGTGGGTCTCTGCTCACTGACCCATGAGGGTGCAAAGTAAATGTAAGGTCCACAAAGCAGTGCAATCTCAGTTCTGATGTATCTCTGGATTAATGACCACACTGAACACTTCACAGTTAGGAAAAGAAAGGCTATTCACATTATGGAAAGTATTTTCCCAACTATTTACCTTGATCACAGTGTGTAAAACTAAGGTTTACAAGTCTCATGTGCTCATATGAAAGTAATGGAACAGGGCAGAGAGAAAAGGCACTTTTCTTTAAAAGTATCTTTTAAAAGATGGGAGATTAAAGGAAAGATGTAACTGACGGCCTAAATCAGGGGCACTCCTGATTGTGGAACAGGAGCCAGACACCAACACTGCCACTCAGTGACCCACCTACCTCATACACTTCGTTCCACTTTGGGCTCAGGTTCTCTTTGATGACCTTGCTTTGGAAGATTTGGTTTCCCACACGGATAACTCCATATGGGTCTGACTTTCCCTTGACCAGGCCCTTGAGATAAGTATCTTTGCCCTGAAGATCCTGAGCTTCAATGAAATGGATCCTCAGAACACCCTGAAAGAAGAACATTTAGACTGTTCAGAGGCTCATTTATGGAGGATGGGGGATGGGTGTGTACCCAGTCCTGTCCAAAGAACTGGGGGTGCTGAGGGAGTAAAAAAAAGACCTTCTTCCAAGCAGCATATGTCCCAGCAGGGACAGTAACAGTGTGACAGATCAGGAGCCAAGTGCTAAGGAAAGACCACAGCATCTGCATGATGCTGGCTAAACAGGAGGACAGATACCTCAGCAGAGATGAAGGTGGCCATGGTAGGGAATGAGCCATGTGACACCGCCAGAACCTGGGACACCTGAACACTGAGCACGGAGGTACTAGTGGAGCAGTATGCTCAGATCCTGGAAGCTGATGACACCGCCTGTGTGGATGTCCAAACGGTCCCACAGTCTGGTCCTCAGCAGTGGTAACTAATATGACATGTCAGGCCTGCTACTAAGTGCTTGATATGCAGTTACTGTAACTCCATTTTTGGAACATCTGTATTAGTGTTTTACAAAGGAGGAGAAAACTGCAGTCAAACTGTTAAAAAAGTTACCATAAAGAGACAAGCATACCTATAGGTAAATATACTTAAGCATTAAAGCTGGGCATATCCAATCCTGACTGTAATCTCAGCTACTTGGGACTCTGGGGGTGGAGGATTGTAAGTTTCAGGTCATCCTGGGCAATGTTCTGAGACCTTGTCTCGAAATTATTTATTATGTGTGTGTGTGGGGTGTATGTGTGCAAGAAAGAGACCTAGAGATACTACTGCTCCATGCTAGAATGGTTACCCAGCATGTGTGAAGTAATGGGTTCAATCCCTAGCACCTCCGAAATAAATAAGGCCATGCCTTCAATCCTAGCACTCAGGGAAACTGGCTGAGACACAGGATCTCAGATTTGATCCCAGCAAAGCAACTTAGCAAAACTTTGTCTGGGGAAAAGTTTTAAATAGAGTGGGGATATAGCTCAGTGTGAAGACCCTAGGTTGTCTTCAGTACTAAATACTGTTTATATTTTTTTGAGTAAAGCTTAGATGACCTGGCTATATCTTTCAACAACACTGGCTTTTAAGCCCCCAGAGTTACGTGTGGCTGAATCCAGTGCTCACTGTCCTCAGAGCAGAAGAGGCCCTCAGGACAAAGAGGCATGAAGATTCCTACCTGTGAGTTGTCCTGTATCCTCAGGAAGAGACTCCTGAGTTAAGGAAAACAGGCATACTCGTCCAATAGGCCATATCAGATTAAGTCTGTCTAATGCCAACAATATAAATAATTTGGGTATCAAACTAGCTAGCTGTGTTAGTCTTTAAGAAATGTGAAGATGTAGCCTTTTGTGTGTTTGTTGATTTGTGTACTAAGACCTAATGTAACCATAAAAAGTAAACAGTATCTGGGTAGAGCTATCTCCACTTTGGGAAATAGAAATGAAGAAAGCACACCTGCTGAAACAGCACTGACTTAGCTCCCATTTCAGCGAGCTCCACACTCCAGCCCTCCTGGAGGACGAGCTACAGATGGACTCACAGATGTAGACCCCAGCAGTGACAACAACCTGCACCAGGCCCCCCCAGAGGCAGTTCCTCCAGTGGCAAGCCCTTACAAGCTGTGCACACAGGGAAGAACTCCAACATCTGCAAATTTACAGATGTGGAAGCTGAGGCCGTTATATGAGTGCCTGTTCTGTCACTTTCCTTGTCACCACATTCTGAAGTCAGAGAAAACACACAAAGCATCCTTTCAGAATTCTCATGTCAGCAGTCTCACCTGGCTTGTTGCTAAAAGCTCCCATGTTTTAATAAAAACACAAATAGTATGTGCCTTCTGAAATAACCAGGCTGTCTGCTCAAAGCTATCATTACAACTTGAAAGAGCATTTGCAGATCAGTGCTACCAAAATCTGGAGAACGTGCTGAGGCTCATGGGCCACCCTGAGCTCTCCACCCCTGCAGGGCAAGGCACACGAGCACACCTCTGGAGCAGGACAGCAGGGTGGCGGGCCACCCTGAGCTCTCCACCCCTGTGGGGCAAGGCACATGAGCACACCTCTGGAGCAGGACGGCAGGTGGCTATTTCTGCACCCAGATGCTGCCAAGAGAGACACGAGATGGTTCAGCACCCTGCACAATGCCCGTGTAATTGAAATGGTGCTCAGCATGCTTTCTAGTATTAGGAGGTGCTACAATACACTTACCTTTGGTACAGGAAACCGCAATTGAGCTATTTGAACTTCACTGACAAGAGGAACAGTGATTCGATTGGGAAGCACCAGATAGTTTGATATTATATCCAAAATGATAGTATCAGATAAGCCACTGTTAGTTGGAAAGTAAAAACAAAAACAAAAACAAAACCCACGTCAATACTTGTTATCAACTTTAACAACAAACATACCACAACCATAACATCCATTATCAGAATGGACTGTAGTTCTCCAAAACAAAACTGTCGTTCTCCAAAACAGAATTTAAAGTCAGCATTTATTCTTTCTGTACTGGACATTGAACCCAAGGCCTTCACACTAATCTACATCTCTAGCTAGTCCCCCCCCTTTTTATTTTGAGACAGGTTTTAACTTGCTCTCCTCCTCCCTCTGCCTCTCAAAGTACTGAAATTACAGGCATGTATTTCACATTTCAGCTGCAATCCTGCTAAGGTTGGAGGTAGAATTTATCCTTAGAACAAAGCAAGCTATATTTAATAATTTCCTAAATATTTTTTTATTCACTCCTAAAATAACTTTAGATTTAATATCTAACTTTAATATATAATATCTGAAATAGAGTTAATATTGAAGAACATACATTAGTAGAATATCTATTCTTTTCTTGGTACCAAGAATGGAACTCACAACCTTGTGCCACTGAGCTATATCCCCAGCTAAAAGCAGAATACCTATGAACCCATTCCACATTTATACACAAATTTGCCTCTCCTGTTGTATGCCAGTTCCCAATGAGATAATTTAGTTTGCTCTCTTCATACCAATACTAATAATTTGGTGCCACTGTATATAAAAGCCACTGGATACCTAATTCAGAATATAAATAAAAATGCTTAAAGGAACTGTTCATCTCTGCAAGGACAATCAAATATTGTTCACATGACAACTTTTGAAAGTATAAAATGGAAGTGTCATTGCTACAGAACCGCTCTGTCTGGACACTGATGTTTTAAGGAACCACAGTTCTTGCCAGTTAGGTGCAAAATTGCTAAGACACATGTAACTACGTATTTGAGACTCCCCACTTAGAGTAACCATCATCATCTTCACTTACCAAATGACAACCAAATGCCTGCGGCCAGATATTCACATGAGCCAAGACACAGATTTGTCTCCCAGGCCCTCCCCTCTGCTACATGGGGAAATGGACTTCATTTATTTATTTTTGGATTTTAATTTTTTAAAAAATACATTTGGTACAGGGTCTCACTACGCAGCTCGGCCTCGTGGTGATTCTCTGTGCTGGCCTCCACAGCACTAGGATTACAGGCATGCGCTACCACACTTACTTAATCTTGGTAGCCTGCACACCTCACTGGGGGCAGAGTCGGCTTGCAGGCTGGAGATCGAACCCCAGTCCCTGCGAACCCCAGCACTCCACCTTGCACCCAAAGCCTACAGCCTTCACCAAAACAGAGCTTGCACTTTCCTTTTTAACCAGTAAGCACAGTGTGCAGATGCCCATTTTGTATAGCTTATGGCAAAGCTTCATTGTCCTGGCTCCTTCTTTGTGGGACATTTAAAACATGAGGCTTGCTATGGCTCTCATATTTTGACAGTCTTTAAATGAGAACCAAGATTCTGAAATTTTATTACACAAAAGGTACACAATTATGTATAAATTACATAACATATATGAATATATAATTTTTTACATAAGTTTTATTTCCTCATAAAAGTTAAATAATTTCCTTTTGACCCTCCATATTTAGGAACTTAATATGTTTTCTTCCAAAATTTCAACATGTGTTTCTCTACCAACAAGCAATGAGACACTTCAGCTAGGTACGTAGACCACTTACTGCTGGTCCTCTGATAAGCCTTCAACTCTTGTTCCAGTCTAAGTGCACAGTCTTTCACTTGACTTTCAAGACCTTTTTCTTTTTCTAGTTTAAGCAATATATTTAAGGTTTCCACTGGCATTCGCTCATAAACATAAGTAGAAGATAACTGATCTGAAGGATTTCCATAGACACTTCATTTTCTCTTCCAGAAATACAATTTGTTTTTGTAGCTGATTATTCAACTCAAGTTGTGCCTCAAAACAAGTTTTCCATTTACCACCTTCATTGTCAGTTCTGAGCTTGGCTTCCAGTTCTGCTATCTTGTGTTTCATTTCAACCGTTGAGAGCTGCACTACATCCTGAGGCCATGGCTCAGACTCAGAATCAGTCAAATGAAGGCTTATCAGTCAGATCCAGAATGGATTAAATATACAGGACAGTTCCAAGCCTTCAGGTAACCACTGGATGCCCTTTACTCTTAAGACATGATGCTCGAAAAGTCAACTGTCTCAGGATCAATAAATTAAGAGTAAAACACCAACATCAAACAGGTGCATTTATGCTGCAGCACAGGGACACGATTCACTTCAATCTGATCCTCAAGCCAGAACAAGTAGCCTATTTACACCACCTCAGGTTTCAGTAACCACACAGTAAGTGAACCTCTCACATGAAATAGAGTTCTGGGAAGTTGATCGACATGCTCTGCATCATCGGGTCTTGGGTCAACCTTGGTGGCTTCAGCAATTGGGTGTCAGGTGGGATGTCCCAGGGAGGCCACAAAAGTGAGGGTGGGGGAGAGGGCCAGCTGTACCCACATGGTCCAAGCGAGCCCACTCACCTCCTGTGGATTTCTTCCAGCCACTGCTGTTTTTTGACACTCCAGGCTCACACTGGCAAAGCTGTGGCCTCTCCTGTCCCCCATGGTACAGGTTAGAGATCTCCTGTGCTCTTCTCCTCTATGGACTGCAGAGCATAAGACTGGCAGGGTCACCCAGAAGCCGGGTGACAAAACCCTGCCACGGGCCGCCCCCATGGCCAACTGCCTCACAGTGGCCGGCTCCCATGCTGCCCTGCATGTCTCACCTACAATTTTGTTTTAAAGGAGTATTTCTATAGAGCCTTTTCATACCATGGATAGCCTATTTTTAAGTGATGTATCTTAAATTTCTGCATATGTAACACATGTGTATGGCAGAACTGCATACAAATACAATACATGGAAGCACATATTTTTATATTGTATAGGTAAGATCTGTATCTGTAAATTACTAGTTAGAAACTACTACTGTGTGATTAAATAAAATGAAGCCTGCGGTGAGAGTGTGGATATACTGCCACGTGTGTTCACTGTGTGCATACATGTACATAATACACAACCTTGTGAGGACACAGTACGTCCTGTCTGAGGTGACCCTTCCACGTGGCTAACACCCCTGTGGTGTGAGTAGCAAAGCTGATGTTCAACAGTTTCAGTCTTCCCACATGTACTGGTTGATACATTGTGTCAACTTGAGAAGTGTAGAAGTTTAATTAAGTGACTCAGCAGACAGCCAGGGTTCTTACTTCATAAACATCCCCATCCTGTGCAAGAGGAGGGGACTTACACTGTGTAGTTCTACACCTCCTCCCTAGGGCCTGGAGGGACCTCCCTAGAGTGATACAGCATTCATGGGCTATATAGAGGGACTGGAGGAAGGATGGTCAGCAGCACCTCCTCCAAGGAGTGCTAGTCTTCGCAGTGTAAAAGGAAGAGAGGCTTGCCTGACACCAGTTGCCGCTTGTCCCTTCCCTCTTTGTTGCTTTCTGCTGCCTTGGACTGCTGCCCTCTTCAATGTGCTACTTTGCTTTGGAGCCAGCGGAGTATGGACTGAAACCTGCACTAACTGTGAGCTAAATAAACTTTTCCCTTCTTAATTTTGGGTGCTGGATGTTTTTCCAGCAACTACAGAAGAGTAACTGAGACACCATGACACTGAAGAAACCAAGGAGAATGAATCCTGTCTGGGAAGTTACCAGTGTTTTCTGCCTGGCTTACTTTTATTTCCTCCACCATGCCCAGTGGAAGTTTTCCCTTTGGGGATCCCTCACGCTGGAGTTTTGTCTTCTCCAGGGCTAAATATAAGTAAAAACTTAACCATCAGAATCATGGGAATCTATCCATAGGTAGACATGCATGAGCCAGCCCTAGCGCTTTGCTGGAATGAGCGGGGAAAGTTCTTTTCCAATGGAGGCTGCAGTCTGCATAACAGAAGCTGGCAAGTGCTGCTGATCATGGACAGAGCCTGCCTGGACACAAGCTGTAGGGATTCATCCTGCTGAGGCATCCACTGCACAGAGAGCCCTGCAGCATCCCCAGGCACGAACACCCATCTGTGCCTCTCTGTGAGGGACCAGCTGTGGCTCAGAGCAAGCGTTCAGTCAGTGCCATGTGTCTCCCAACCAAACTGCTTTAAAAAATATCTCTTTCAAGACTGAGGATGTAGGGCCAGCCCAATAGCTCAGCAGATTAAAGCACCTGCAAGCAGGCACAGGGGCCAGGGGTTCAATCCCTGGGCCTGCTGTGCTGGCCCTGTCCCTGGGGTGCATTGACATGGCAATTGAGACTGGGCATGGTGGCATGCGCCTGTAATCTCAGCTCTTGAGAGGCTGTAAACAGGCGGATCACTACAAGTCTGATGCAGTAGTGAGACCCTGAACATCCTGTAGACCCTTCCCTGAAATACAAAAAAAAAAAAAAAAAAAGACTGAGGATGCAGCTTCACAGTTGAGTATTTTATGTGCAAAGTTCTGAGTTCAATCCCCTGTACTGAAAAAAAATTATGCACTTACCTCTTTAAGACCATTTGAATTGGTGTAAAGGCTTAACTATAAAATATGCCCCAAAGACTCAGGTATGAGGTTTGATCCCCCAAGGAAGCAATGTTCTGAGGTGGGCCCTGAAGAGGGAGCGAAGCACGAGAACACTGCTCTCAGGGTGCGTTATCCAGGGATGAGTCCCTTGGTGAGGCTGTCAGGAAGCAGGCCCAACTGGAGGACGTGGGTTACAGGGTGGGTACTTTCTTATCCCCCAGCTCCTTTCTGTCTCTGCTTCTTGACTGCAACAAGGTCAGGGGCTTTCCTCTTCAAGATGCTTTGCCTTGTCACAGGCCTAACACAAGGGAGCCAACCAACCATGGAATGAAACTCCTAAAACCCTGAGCCACAACGAACCCTTTCTCCTTTAAATGGAATACGCCAGGTATGGGATTACAGTGATCGCACAACCTGACACACACTTCAACAAATCTCTTATTTGTATCTTAGTTATTTGAGAGAAGGTCTCGCTGTGCAGCTGGGGTGGCCCTGAGCTCACTATATGGTCCAGCCTGACTCAACCGGCTGCAGTACTTCTGCCTCGTCTCCTGCCTGCCAGCACTATAGGTATATACCACCATGACTGGCTCAGCAAACCTTTTAAAGTTGGACCTTTCTTTTGCAGATCTGTTAAAGAAAACAGTGCTTTTCTATATTAAACCGTAGTACCTAATATACACTTTTATTTATGATGAAAAAACTTTTTGAATGGCTATTTCAGAGGCAGAAACAAACATACAGGAGTATAAAAATTAGTTTGACGCCAACCATTCGTAACTTAATTTCTGAACTGCTTTAGGAAAAAATATCCACAGATGAGCCAAATACTCACTAGAAACATGCAATTATCGCCAGTAAGCAACGCATGTTAAACTTTGAGTAGTTCAGTTAGTAAAGATGCACTCAGAAGGTGGTAATTTCAAAACTTGCTGTTTGGCAGTGGCCTGCCCAGGTCTACACACGCCAGCCAGGTGGGCCAGGGTGGGAAGCTGATCGACATGCTCTGCATCAGTCGGGTCTTGGGTCAACCTTGGTGGCTTTGGCAACTGGGTGTCAGGTGGGACGTCCCAGGGAGGCCACAAGAGTGAGGGTAGGGGCGAGGGCCAGCTGTACCCACGTGGTCCAGACTGACATGCCCCTTACTGTGCCAGGTGACTGCTGTGGGCATTTTCCTTGGTTCTTGGACACTAAGTTGAACAGAATGAAGAAGGGGCTCCTACTAGGATGGCAGACACCTCACTCAGGCCCCATTCTGACCCCATTCCTTTCACAGTGGGGTGCAAAAGGGAAGGAGAAGAGGCAGCTTTGGAGGAGCACAGGGTTAGACTTTAAACACAAGATTTATTCTATTGTTTATGAGAAAACCAAATTAAAATTTTAATTCACACAACATGAAAAGGTTGGTACTTTTCTAAAATGCCACTTGGGAGGAATAAAAAGCAAAGGTAGGACACTCTAAGATACTCCTGAAACCATTCTACTTCTGCTCATCTGGATGAAGCAGTTCATGCATGGCTGGGAGAAAAAAACTCAACTCTCCTCTTTGCTGGCTCCTATGAGGGAAGCACTGGTTCTACTTGGTCTTGTGAAGTCTTGTCTCTTCTTTATAGTGTTATTTTTAGGACCCTTAAAAAGACACAACCTCATCCCCAGCTTATGCCAGGACCCCACAGCACTCACTTTAATCCAGGGATATCCAGAAGATTGGTCAGCCCCGTCCAGTTAATCTCTAAAAGCTGGTTTTGAAAAAGAGTGAAAATAAGTATGTAAGCTGTTTCAAGTTGTCAATTCAAATGCACACAGGTTCTTTTTTTGTATCATCAAAAGGAGTGGTTACGTAATATGGACTTTCTTCCTTTTTCTTTGTAATATATAAAGGAACTTTCCTTACAGGGTACATGGAGACCTGCTTCTGCTTGTTTTTCTGATAATGCCATAGTTTTCACCAGTAAAGACAAAATACAATAACTTATTTACCTATCCACTTATGGACAATTAGAATATCTGCAATGTCTCTCTCACTGTACGAAGTCAGTGACCATCATTTTACATACATTCAGACCAATATTCAAAAAGGTGGATTTAACATGTTTATAACAGAGCCATACAATGAGTACGCCTCACTGCTGGGCAGGGCTTGTACCGATGGGACATGTATGACTGTCTCATCAGGTGGCATGCATGGGGCTGTTCCATGCCATCTAATGGTCCAATCATACATGTGATACCAGTGGTTCACACTGGTGGGAATGTGTTCAGGCCAAAATTTATGTTTACTTTAAGCACTGGAAAATCTTACCTAACCGGTCTCCAAAAGCATTACGTGAATTTTTCACCAAAAGTGTGTGAAAATGTCTTTTTCCTAAACTTCATCAAAACAGGTATTAATGAAATTCCATCTGACTACAGAATCAAGTAGTAAAAAATGCTAATGAGCCTATGGAGAAAAAAAGAAACCCTTCTCCATTACTGGTAGGAATGTAAACTAGTAAAAGCATACTGGATGTCAGCATGTAGAGTCCTCAATGAAACAGAAATTCTATTCAATCCAGCTTTGCTGCTACTAGGTATCTTCCCCAAGTGTTAAAGGTATCACATTACAGCGGCGGCGTGATTCATGACCGCTAAATCACCCTGCTTTATATTCATTAACAGATGAATAGATAGACAACACAGTTCACATATAATAGAGCACTACTCTGTTATAAAGGGTAAGCGAGTATTTGTAAAAAAAATGGATGTCTTCTGAGATCATAATGTTAAGTGAAATAAACAAAGTACACAGCACAGATATTGTGTGATTTCTTACTTCAGATATGCAAAAAATAAATAAATAAAAAACCCAGATACCCGAAATACAAAGAGTAACCTAAAAAGAAAAGTAAGAAAACAGATCTTTCTCAAATGGGAACAGAATCAGGAGATGGAGACAAGGGGAGAGAGAGGAGAAGGAGAGTAAAAAAAGGAATTATGCACTCTGCACAGGTACCAACTCCCCACAAGGAATGTAAACAGTATGTACCACAAACATGGACTAAAAAAAAAAAAAAAATTAAAACATTAAACTTCAGCCCATAACTGCAGTCCATTTTAAGCTGCAGTTAAAAAGATACTTTACCAACATTTTAAACTGCATTTTCCTATGAATGGAGCATACTCCATGCATTTATTTCACATCTGTACTCATTTATCTCAAAGTAATTCCCACACAATTAATATTCTAAGTGGACATTAACCAGTTAAAAATATGGATTAGAAATAGTTTATTTTTATTTTTATTTTTCAGAACCAGGGATTGAACTCAGGCCCTTGTGTTTGCCAGGCTAGCGCTTATTCTACTGAGCTATCTCCCCGGCCCCAGAAACATTTTTTTTTAAAAAAAAAAAAAAAAAAAACCAAACCTGCTTTTCCTACTTTTCAAAAACAGACACTGCACATAATACAATTACTTGTGTTTTACACTTGTAGAAGAAATGTTAAGTGAAACTGCAGGACTGCAGCTGCCAGAAGAGTATGAAAACAAATTGTTCAAATCCCTCTTGGAAATCAGTTATATACAAATGTGAACTACAAAATAGGGCTGGGGACATAGCTCAGTGGCACAGTGCCTGCCTGAAAAGTGCAAACAATTCCTAGGCAGAAAAGAAAAGAACAGGACTCCATTAGACAGGCCTAAAGTAAGAAAAAGCAACAGATTTTCAAAAATTCCTTCCTAAGATTTCTCTGCATGAGAGGAATGAGATCTAAATCTCAGGAAGGGCCAGGTGTGGTGCTGCACACCTTCAATGCCAATACTCAGGAGGCTGACACAGGACGATTGCCATGAATCTGAGGCCAGCCTGGACTACACAGGGAGACCCTGTCTCAAAAAACAAAGCAACCCAATGAAACAAGCAAAACAAATCAAATACAAGAAACCAAACCAACAACTAGTAACCACCTCCTCCCAACCCCCCCCACCACAAAAAACCCAAAACCTCAGGAAGAAAAAGAGCAAGTAGTTAATTTTAAATCTGGACTTCATGTATTACAGATCATCTCTCTGGACCCACCCCTGGGTTAGACCCAGACATGAGGGCAAAGCGGCGCGACGGCAGCCCCAAACCCTTATTAAGATCTCTAGTGCTTCCACAGGAAGGAAGCAGGGCTTTCACAGCCGCTGATTACAGAGTGAAAACAATCTTTCTGATCACCAGGAGAGAGTGTCTATTAGAACAATGAAGACACTACAACAAGAGGTATAGACCTGCATTGGGGGGGGGGGTACTACAAACCATCTAGGTCAATTTATTTATTTATTTTTTAAATGTATTTAGTACAGAGTCTACAGGTCTCACCACAGACTGGGCTTGTAATGACACTCCTACCTTCAGCCTCCCAAGAACTGGGATTACAGGTGTGCGCCACCAAACACAGTCTCACGGCTGTCTCAGCACACCCCCGGGGGCAGGGCCAGCACGGCATGCCAGGGATCAAACCCTGGTCCCTGCTTCTGCCTAAGCAGGTGCTTTAGTCCACTGAACTATTTGGCTGGCCCATCTGGGTCAATTTACAGTGCTGTGACATAGGACTCATTTCTGTTTTTCTTTTTTTTCATGGCATTAGGTCACAGAATCTCTTTAGACCTTAAAAAGGAACAGGTAGTCCTCACAAAGTGAAATAAAACAATTTTTCTGAGACAGGGCCTCTCTACTAATCAGACTGGTTTTGAGCTCACGAAGTGGCTGTATGCTCACCTAGAACTCTGGCACTCCTTGTGCCTCAGGTTATCAATGCTTGGATTATAGAAGTATGCCAGATTTCTGGCTAAAACAAAATACTCTGATCTTACAAGAACACCTGTACATCAGGTCATTAAGATGCAAGAGGACATTATCATAGGCTTTTACCATGTAAGGCTACAGATTCTTTCAGAAAACCTTTACAGAGCTACTTGAGGAAATAACACCAGAAACGTAGCATGGACTTGTCGCCTGACTCCAGTTCAAAGGCAAGCACCTGGAGCTTTCCCTGGAGACACCCGAGTCAGGCCGCCCCCCGTATAAAGCTAGGAGACTACGCAGCAGGGAGAAGACAAGCCTGTAAGACGAGGTGATACTGCGCCATCTTGGAAAAGAAGATACCTACATGTGATGAATTTCGAAAGATGCTACTTAATAAAGGGCTTGCCTTATAAATACACTTTCACCCTATGTGGCTTAGTCATATTTTATGTCACTATCTCATTACCTTAAAAGGTATCACTATAGTTTAATGGCATTAAAGTAGAATAATTTTATGCTAGAAATTTTGGACAACAAAATTGACAATTCATTTAATAGTATTTTTTAATGTAGTACCTTTCAAGAAAAATATAACAAAGCTTGAGATTCGTCTTCTAATGAGATTTTATCATGGTTCCGAGCAGTTATGTGTTAGTTTGGACCCACTAAGTGCTCGGATAAGACAAGGACTAACTTTAGAAGTCAGCATGAAGCTAGCTTTAGAAATGTTGGACCTTTGAGTATCTGGCTGAGACAGGGACTAGCTTTACTGAGAAGCCTTAATAGCCAAGTGAAATGCACTGGAAGTAAATATATACATACGTATTTTTTAAAAAGTTAAAAACTATTCCACATTTTTTTCACAGCAATCTGAAAGCTATTCCCATGGCAACCAGTTTTGATACTTTCCTTGTCTGACAAAATTGTAACCCAGGATGAAAAAACTGTCTCTAATTACACTGACTTAACAGCTTTCTTCAGAGGCACTACCGTTCCTCAGCAAGATGGGGTAGCACAGTACCGAAGGCACGTCCACATTTGATGCAAGAAACTTACTACATCAGGTAAAAGTGTGCTACATGAAGCCACTACAGTCAGCAAGACGGCACACACCTACAGTTCCAGCTACCAGGGCAAGAGGACTGCCTGAGCCTAGGGCTGATCTGGGCAACACAGTGAGACCCACCTTTTAAAATAAATAAAATAAAATGCACACATTAACATCTATATTAGTTGATGTCTAGCCCACCAATACTTGAAGATTCTAAAGGCCTGATGCAGCACTGAAATCAGTATTTTGTTACTATCTTAAATAATCTTGTAAGCTACTAGAACTAAACTACTTAAAAGACTATCTGGAAATCATAAAGATGTCTTTCTGCCATCAAAGCCAAAGATAAAAGGGACCAAAGTAGAAAAAAAATTTCATTTTTTTTCCCTCCCGGAAACAGGGATTGAACTCAGGCCCTTGTGCTTACCAGGGAAGCGCTTATTCCACTGAGCCATCTCCCTGGCCTCAAATTTCACTTTTTGAAACAGAGTATGAAAGGCTAACTTGTTGGAGAAAGCTCAAAAATGAAGCAAGACCTGGGGATACAGCTCTGTGGTACACTGCTTGCCTGCCATGCACACAGGCCCCGGCAAGGCCTCATGACTGGGGGAAAATGATTTTTTTTAGAAAAAGAAGCCATACAGATAGGCATTTTGAAAAGTTACAAATAAAGTTGGCCTAAAAAGTAGAAATGAGACTAAATCAACTGTTCGAGCTTCACAGATAAGAAAAGTCACTGCATATGGTGGCGCACATGTAATCCCATACTTGGAAGGCTGAGGTAAGAGGATTATCATGAATTCAAGGCTAGCCTGAGCTACACACTGAGTTCAAGGCCACCCTAAAATACATGAGACCCCGTCTCAACCTCAACAACAATGACGACGACGACGATGATAAAAAACCTGAGACCTAGACTGAATTTCACCACTCAACAACATGACAGAAGGAAATCCTCATGCTTGGTTTTTAAGGCAGTTTTGTGCTAAGTCATATCCTCAAGTCTCCAATGAGCCTTGCTTCCTCACCCCACAGCCTCTCTAGCCTTCCACTTCTAAGCTTTGCTGCCTTGGTGTGGGTGACACGCTTACTGATGATGCACAGAACTGCTTCTTCCAGGACAGCCTTGTTGAAATGACTGGAATCCCCCAAAGTGCTACTAAAGTTCAGGGAACCCAATCATAGATAGGCAGGGCGGAACTGAGTTGGGCTTTGGAAAAAAAAAGAGGGATCCGAGTGCAATAAAGAAGCCCCAGACAAAGGGTCCCGGGGTCAAGGTGCTGAGCATACGCACAACTTATCCCTGCACACAAGGGAGGCCTGTGTGGTAGAGGGTAAAGTCTTAGGTCCAGGGAGTGGGCGGACAGGAAGGATGGGTGTGAGTGTGAGATCAGTCATATAAGAGGTGAGACCGAATAGTGTGTGAGACTGAGATGGGTGAGAAAGCAATTGAGTGGCTCAGTGGACAGTCAAATGTGGCAGCAGGGAGAGAATGAGAGAAAGAGTATGTGGTAATACATGTGCGAGAGTAAGAGTGTGAGGATGAATGTGGAGAAAGTGTGGGGAAAAGACCAAGTGATACAAGTATGCGACAAAGTGCAATGTACGCCTGAGAAGACAGCACAGTGTGATCGAGATTTAAAGCTCAGCCCGAAAATCTGCGTGAGGACACCAGGCAAGAACAGCAGGAGGCGCCTGACAGGTAGTGCTCTGCCAAGTCTGCTGCCTCACAAAGGAAAACCAACTAAAATTAGCCTCCCCCTGAGGGCTTTTCAAAGTCTCCTGGGGGACACTGGGAACCAGGGCCTCTGGATGACCGACAGCTCTATTTCAGGAAACAAGGAGAGACAGGGAACACATGTTCCCAAGCACAGGATGTCATCCCTGAGCTGTGGCGGCTCCTCTATGAGAAGCAAAACCTGTAGGGATGCCCACAGTAACAAAAAGATGCAGGCTTCGCCACAGCAACAAATGTATCCCATGTACTTCATGAAAACCAGGCTGGTCAGGGTAAGAGTCACCTGCAAACTCTGTGAGAAATACAAACTGACACTTGATTCAACAGGTCTGGGCTAGCTGAAAAGTCCAAGAATGGTTTCCTTGTGTTTTAAAACACCACGTATTTGGTTTTCTCCTGGGGTATGGAAAATTGGAAGAGCATTTCTCAATGGTTTGGGGAATTTTTAGTTCCCTCTACCAGGAGGTACTACATCTTAAAAACTAATCTTAAACAAGTCACTGCACTGAAACTGGCTGTACACATCTGGGTTGCAAGCTTGAGCCCAGCCTGGCAACTTAGTGAGATCCTGTCTAAAAACAGATATAAAAGAAAAAAAGAAAAGGGTTAGGGATGTAGCTCAGTGCAAAGGGCCTGTGTTGAATCTCCAACCCAAAACACAAAAACTTTTTCAGCAAAAAGAAAAATGTGTAAATATTTGTTTTTGTATGGGATCTGGCACTATACTTCTCAATCTGCACAAAGAGTCAAAAATAATAAAACAAAAAAACCTTTCTATGCTGTATTTTTCAACAGGGTGAGGAAATATAATTTGGCAGCTAGTGGCGAATCTGTTCTCATATTTTCTGGTTGAAAGTAACTGAAAAAACTCCCTTTCCTCTAAAGCATATTTGAAGACTTTATTCACCATATAAGGAAAAAAGTGATTCTGAGCTTTTCAGCCTCATTCTTCTTTTTTGGCATTAAATTTCACTGAGAAGATAACATTCTTACATTATTTTAAAAGTAAATTTATCTGCTGAAGACCCAGACTATATAAGAGCATTGCTAAGTTTTGGAGAAGATTAAAAGATTTGAAATTTGTTTCATTTTGGGAGATGGAGTGGGGAAGGATGAACTTTCTTTAAATTGTTAGGAGTTTCCAAGCTGGTATCTCTCAGCACTTGGGGAGACTGAGGTAGGAGGACTGAGGATTGAACGTTTGAGCCCAGATCAGGCAGCTTAGTAAATTCCTATCTCAAAATTAAAAATTTTAAAAATTGCAAGAAATGTAGCTTGACATGAAAGTCCTGGTTTCACATTCAACACTACAAAAAACAAAGAAAAGAAAAGCCATAAAACTGCATGTGCGGCTGGGGAGATAGCTCAGTGGCATAAGCACCTGCCTGGCAAGCACAAGGTCCTGGGTTTGATCCTCAGTTCCAAAAAACAAAAACAAACAGAAAACCTGTATGTGCAGTACACCAAATACACCTTCACTAAAGATAGCAAAACAGTCAGGGCATGCAGCCTTATCTCACGAAGAGTCAGAGCAGCCCCGCTGAGGGCCACTGTGGACAGTGCTCAGGAGCACGAACTCTGTGTCAGACTACTACCCTGGGGCATTGTGCCTGAGTCTGGAGCAGGTAAGACTCCGCCTCAGGCTCCTGGTGGTAAAAGGAAACACAACTGAACTTTAGAGGTATGAAAATTGAATAAGCAAATCTTTACCATACAGTGATTTAGTTTGAATGACACTTAGCTGTATCTTATTCCTTTATAAAAGTCTATGTTTTCTAATTTTCTTCAACAAATTATTTTTATAACCACGAAAGAATACCTTTTTTTTTTTTTTTTAATTAAGAGATGAAGCTGGGTGTGATGGCACATACCTATAATGCAAGCACTTAGGAGGCTGAGCCCAGGGGATCTCTACAAAGTCGAGGCCAGCCTGAACTATGTAGTAAGACTGTTTTCCCTTTCCCCCAAGAGAGATGAAACTCCCAGTTAAGGAATAAAGAAGTATGAAAAACTCTGAGCACTCCTCTATCAGAAGGAGAAAAAGTGAGGTAAGGAGAGAATTCTGTTTCTCCACATTATTCTGTCCACATTCTTGTCAGCAAGTGGCAGACAAAAGTGACATAAATGTCCACTTACCGGTTTCCTGAGGAAGAAGATGGATAAGGCTCCAACTAAAGGCATGTCTCCAATCAGGGGTTCCAGGATCACCCGCATCGTCCCATGGATCTAAACTCAAACAGGAAGCAAGAGCATGTAAGAGAACACAGTGCTACAGCGCTGCTGAGTGACTTTCAAACATCAGACTTGATCTTTCTCCTAACTATGACCACAAATAAAAATGTACTGTTAAAACGTTCTGAGCAAGTAAAAGTTTTGTAATTTCCTTTTTGACTGTGGAGAGCCTTAAAAATGAAATTTTAAAAAACTTACCTGTATGCTTTTCACACCAGCTCTACAAAAATAACGTTTGATCTCCAGATCAATCTCACAATTTCCTACAAAACTGGCAAAGAAATTTTGCATTACATAAAGTGAGTGAAATTATTCTTTTAGTTTCTGTAGAACTACAAGGCACATAATCTGAATAAAATGATAGTAAAGCAACCAAAATCAGATTGTAAGCAAAAACTGAAAAAACGTGGCCCACATCATACTGTTTTGTTGCTCTGATTCATAGGTTTAGACAATTCTCACAAAATCTGTGAAAACTACTGTATGTGTGTGTATGTGCATGTATGGAAATACATAAATATATAAAAAAGCTTACCAACTATTATAAGTAACCATTTTCAAGGGGAAATGTAAGTAATAATGTATAACTTCTAAATTCTGATGGAAGGTATTCATGAATCGTATTTTTATTTAAAACATAAAGAGGTTTCTATTTTCTTTCACTATCAGTACATTTCATATCTTTTCCCCTCAATCATGAAAATTCTTCCTGAGATGCACCAAGGCTCTGTGACATCAAAAGTTAAGAAAAAATGTCTGTTCAGGGTCTCAGCTTCATACAAGGAACAAGTCATGTCAAACATGAACAGGAGATGAACATGAATCTACTATGGCACTTAATGCAGAGTCCACATCTATTTTTAGCATAAGCATGAGATGCC